ACCCAATTAAAAAATGGATAACTGTAGGTAGGAATGGTCATCTGTGCAGTGTTTTGCACTGATGACCAAACCAGGGTGGAGTCTGCCAGGTGCGGCATCCACTCAAATAAACATGGCACCCCCAAATAGATGCCTCATCATTTCATCTCAGGTGAGTGCCAGACAAAATAGACCATGGTTGGTTGGTTGTCTTTATGTGCCCTGGTTTATGACTAGTGACAAATCCAGAGTGTACGTAGTCCAGCATCCACTTGAATAATTAAATGCCTCACCCTTCAAACACACTCCTCCGTATTTCCCGGCAGGTGGCTGTAGTGACTTTTCCACAAAATGGGGGACCATATATGGTAGTGCTTGGTAACTGCTGACCACTCTGAAAATCAATCCACCCATGAACCACTGAGAAGACAAACATAATTTTCTGTCATCAAAAAAAGCACATTCCCTAATGTTGTGAACTAACAGCAGCAAAAGAAATTAGCGAGCAATAACAGAAAATATACACCATACCTGTCTTTTTCTTTTTTTTTTCTTTTAGATTAGACGGAGAATTTTTGAATGTCCAAAGTTGGTGGGTTATATAGCGCCACAGGACACAACAGATCCACCACCAATCATTAGAGCAGTCAACATCAGAGAAATATTTCAAAGGCCATGGATGGGAGTATCTTCTCTTACGCTCCAAATATGCTGCGCCCATCGTCATCGATGCTCCATGGTTCACGTTCTTCCTTGTCGCTGCTCCATGGCGTTTTGTGAATTGTGTGTTAGCATTCAGCTAGCAGACGCTCACAAAACAAAGTTATGATGTTTGGTTCAATACACAATGTGGAATTCTCTTTGTTTTAAGTTAGCTTTGCCAGTAAACTTGAACTGGGAGTGGTCTGAAACAGCTTTTGGAGAGCTCTTCTCTATTTGCCAAACTGCAGCTTGTTGCTAAGTGGGATGAGCTCACTCCAATCAGTACAATCCAGTCAACTGTATTTGTACAGTACTTAGTTACTTCCCAACACAGTCAATTAGAGCACATTAAATTGAGGGGGTGGGGGGGGGGTTGCATAATATTCTTAGGTAACGTGTAAGTGTATGGATATTTATTGCTCCAATTCATGAATTTGGGTGTAAGGTTTTTAGTGGATGCGGACTGACCTTGACGCTGTCTGCAGGTCTCCAGTACAACCAGTTGTACTCCTCCATGATACAACTGCAGTCTGGAGGTCACAGTACACTAACCGTTCCCTGCCTCAGACTCACAAAGTGGCCACTTTAGCACCAAAAATCTCAAAAGAACAATGATTACCGTTCGCTGGTGGGATAGTCTGCTCAAGTGACGCGTTATTTAGACAACGTGGAGGCGTTTAGTTATCTTTGTATGTGTATTTTCGTCGTTTAAAAGCAGATTAAAATCAAATTCCAGTCCGGGTTTCCCAGGCCTCCTCGGCCTTCAATTTACTGTGTGCTTTCAGCGAGCCGAAGCACTCGTTGGCAACCTTCAGTATCCCTGCGCGGCTCGTGAATGCGTCTGTGTGTTTTTTTTTTTTTTTTTATAACGCCAAATAGTTACCCTGTTTTTATCGTCAAACAAATCATTTTCACGTCGTGGTTTAGATTAAGCAGTTGCCGTAGCACGTTCGAGTAATGTTGGGCCATCTTTGGGCAACTTGGCGCACTACTTCGGCCCCAGCTGTCCTGTCTTTCCAACACGCATACAATACATTCCTGTGTCACTCCGCCAGCGTGACAAGGCCCGCTGTTCCTGTAAACTCCCGCCTTGACTCAATGGTCGAGAGCGCTTGAGGAGCAAGTGTGAAAAAAAGAGAGGGAGAGAGAGAAAGAGAGAGAGAGAGAGCGCGCTATGAAACAAGCAGGCCTTCAAGCTCCCACTCATGAGTTCTGTTCCATATTATAGAGCAGAGAACTCGTTGCGATGGCTGTAATCACACCATAAAGTTAAAGCTTCCACACATAGAAAGGAGGTAAATATGATCTACTACTCTTCGTAAGAGTCAGATCCCAATAGAAGAGTCCCATGAAAAGTCAACCCTTCTTCATTCTCGATAATGCTCAAAGCGTACCCGACAAAAATGGCATTCCTCATGTTCTACCTCATTTAGAGCTAAATAAAGGTGATTCTCGGACCCTCAGAAAACTCCACACTACCCATCATAATGACAGCGTTAACGTCTTTGGATCATCGCCAGTCAAAAGAGGATTTTAGATGGAGCTGTGGTATTGAAATGTTCATTTGCGCAGGGCAGCTGGCTAATGATTATTTTGCTTCGTTTGTTCAACCATTAACCTCAAATGTCGTCACCACAGAAATGCAAATTTAAAAAGAAAGAGATTCTAAGTGATTTTTACACCCCATTATTTTCCAAAAGGATATTCCTTGAGCCCAAAGTGACAGTTGATGGTCTTTTGACTTGCTTGCAAACATAGCCTCACAACCATCTGCCGCATGTTTTTTTTTCTGACACAAGGGTTTAATGCTGCAGTATTTTGGTCCCCACTTGCATCAGCGAATTGTAGTGCAGTAGTACTGTAAACAAAAACAAAATAGAAGTCCTGCGTGTTAAATGTTGAAGTGGCAAGCGGATGGGTGGTCAGACAACAAAAAGGAGAAGAAGCTATTGTTTATGTTGGCAGGTAAAGCAGGTCATGTTAATCCCCTAGTTTAGTAGGCAGTCACACATTCACTTGTGGATGTTATAAGCAGACCTGCAAAATCTAACGCCATCCGACACAAGTTGGGTCAAAAATTCACACTGCACATGTGTTATGACATGATGCATAAAAAAGCCTCAGAAAGCCATGATGTACACTTGTCGGTCATTTTGGGCCAAAACAGGAATTGTTTTCGCCAAATTTAGACTCAATCGGAAAAAAAAATCTACCCCCCACCCCCATAACACTTTCACAAAGCAACATGAAATTTATTTGCATTTTCTCCCATGATAGGATGTAAGAAAAAGCCTGAATGACCCTTGAACTAAAATGAACAGCAAGTCTTCCATTTCAGGTCAAAGTGATCCCCAAGGTTCCAACGGTCAAATTCCCAGAGTGACTCCTACAAATTGACTCGGATGTGTAAATTGGAATGTTTTGAAAATTCAGCCCCTGCGACCAGTTTCACTCAGCAACATGAAATTTGGTAGACATGTCCATCACGAGTAGACCCACAAAAAAGTCTCAAGAACCCGTGCTTGATAAACCATAGGATGTCGGCTATTTTGGATTAAGGTTGACACTTAGGCCTGTTAAATCCACACTGTGTGTTCTTACAATGGCTATTGACCGTAAGGGGTCAGACGCTTGCCACCGCGCCCCTTTAAGCGCTTGTCGTGAGTTATTGGGGGGTGGTGGTGGCCTTCTCCTTTTTGTGTCCCATTCTCCACCCGCAGTGCTATGGCAGGAGGCACACTTGTGGGATAAATCAGCTCCGTTAATGAAAGGGGCCGCGGAGACAATGGGTTTTCAACTTCTTGCAACCTTTCTTTTCAGCCTCACTTCTCTCTGTGTGGTTGAAAGATGCAGAGCAGAAGATCAAGATAGCTCAGTACCACCATCGTGTGGTGACTCTTGTATTGTGCATCATGAGTTGTGAAATAACCCTCAAAATATGAAGAGACATCCAAAGATCATAACACCCACCACACAGAGCTTGCTCTTTCCAAAGTCAGACACCTTTTTGACAGTGGAAGTGAAAAAAAGAAAACTAAACCACCCTCTCTTCTCTGTGTAGAGGTAGAGTGAGAGAGAGAGAATCCGTCTCTTAAATAACACCTTTCTATCTTTGGTACTAGATAGAGATTTTTTTCAGCTAGTAGTGTCCCCCCCCCCCCTTTGTCCATTTTCTTCACAAATTCTCCCCAGACGGGCACGAAGGGCCACTTAGGATGATATTGCCTTGAGGGCCACGCTCACCACATGTTCAACTCATTTCCGCCAGCCATAAATACCAGCAAGCGTCTGATTTATGGACACCCTTTCCTGCCTAACAAGCCGGTGGACAAATAGAGGAATTCTGCTTTGATTTACAATCAAGTCCCCAGGGAACAAGATGGGTGTGTGAGAAATTTTGACATGTTAGAGTCAGAGGTGGTCTAAAAGGGGAAAAACGTCAGTTGGTGTGAGGCCTGGACACTTCGTAAAGCTTTGATGGCAACATTTTGAAGTGATCAAGTGCTTGAAAATAACTTGAATGGACTTAACGCGGCCCATTAATGAATCACATCATGCAAAAGTATGATGTACTTTATTTTTGGTTGCGTTGTAAAAATTGAATAGAAAAAAACCCAACAACAAGTACAGACTACAACAAAAAAAAAACCCTAACTAAAATTAATTCAGTGCTTTCAGATAAAGTGCATTCGGTAGTAAAAAAATAAAAATAACACCTAACAAGTCTAAATGGGGGTTATTAGGATCCATTATAGATGGTTGGAAAAGTCTGTTTTCTTCCCTCTTTGTGATAAATAAAATCCATCGAAAATTAAGAGTCCCTTTTCCTTCGATTATTGACAGCATTGTTCAGCCCACTGCCTCCAACTGAAACCTCTTTTTTTTTCTGCCGCCATGCCAGAATTGGCAACCCGTAATCACAGAAGGGCCCATTAAAGACAGACTATGTCCAATTACAGCTGCCGTTCCGCAGACATCGTTTGATTCACGACCATAAAATTGTCCATGTCGCATGGCTGTAATTGGCAGCGTTTGTTTGAGGTTTGGCTTTCAAATATAAATAAGAGGAGAGGCTGCGCTCTCAAATGACACAAGAGCCAGGCAGTGGCATCAAAACAGGAAGAATAATAAATGCAAAAAAAAAGAAAACGAAAAAACATAGAAAGAGACAAAATGTGATTTTATCGACACGTTTTGTGTCTCACCCTTAAAATGGGATTGGGCATCAAGTTGAATACAAATAGGTGCTGTGGTCCTCCAAACGTTCACAGCCCAAAATGTGTCCTGTCTCAAACACAAATGAAAACAATCCAAGGGAGTTGTGATTAACTAAAAGTAACTTTTATTATACCCGTGCACTTGATACAAAAAAAAATCACCATAAAAGTAATAAATTAACCGCTTCAGACAAAGATCTGTATCATCCTGATTTAGTGGTGAAATGAAATTAAAGAAAAAGTGATTTTAGATAAAACAATACATGATAATACTAGCTGCTTTTCTCACACGGTCCTGTACATTTTTTGTAAACCTGTCCTTTCAAACACAAAAACAAAAATGTTCCAAATATGAACAGCCAAATTAGCTTCTAGATTTAAACCAGTGCCACGAAACAAAATGTGTAAAACAATATATAAATAAAAAAGGGTCACAGCTGGTCCAGAAAAACCCTCAACACACACCCCTAAAAAGTCTGGACACAAGTTGTACGAATGTCGTCTGTGGTAGTTATTTAAATAGTGTAACAGGTCTCTCAAGTGTATATGTTAACATTCACGTGGAACCATGACATGTTTCACACTGTTCTATTCAAGAAGCTTGTACAAAAACAAACAAACAACAACCCCCCCCCCCAAATCGAATCAAATCACATGGAACAAAGTCATCATCAGCTGACTTTCCTGCCCTGTAGTGTTGAACGCGGACGTCAATCTCACAAAAATTGGAGCAATTGTTGGAAGATTTACAATTACCATGACAACGTCCGCGTTACTGTACATGAGCCCGTCGTCTGTGGCGTGTCGCATTGTATGTTAGCGTTAAGTTAGTCAACCTTTGTTTTTGAAAGGGTGCGCGCACTCTGCTTCATATGTTTGTGTTTTAACACACAGTGTTTCATTTGTTGTGCCCCACGTGCTAAAGTAGCCGTTTTGTTAAGGGTCACAATGACTGTAACACTGATGCTAATTTCAATGAGCGTTCCATTGACAATCAATGCTAGTTTTCCAATTGCCCAGTTTGGGCGTTTGTTTGCATTAAACTAATGTATAAATGTCTTTGAAATGTTATGGGTTTTGATGAATCATTTGGTGCTTAAATATACAATATTTACCTGTAATTAGATTTTGTTTCATTCGCCAGTTCTACAGTAAGATTGGAAGCAGCCATTTTGAGTTTTCTCCGATACGGGCCCTTTTGTGGTGTCGCCATGTAAGCCAAGCTTGTGTTACTAAACTTTTCAGAGGCACTAAGACCGAAGATGATCTTAAAATAATAATAATAATACATAACAATGAATTAATCCTAAAACAAGCACTGTAATGTGTGGCTGTCATCAATTTAGGCAGACTTTTTTCAAACGAGAGAAAAAAAAAAAAGCCTGCTCCCCACCCCCACCCCGCCCCTCATTTAAGGCAATACCATTTCTGATTGTCTTTGGTCATGAATGTTGCTTCCTCCCCAAACTATGACATCTCATAGTTACACTAAAGACTGTGCGTGTGTGTGCGTGTGTGTGTGTGTGTGTATCACCAGGCTTAAAAGTTCTGCTGCCTTCGTTTCTTAGCGTCCATGGCGTCGAGGATGGGCTGGCGCTTGGCTGTGTAGCGCTGCCGTAGCTCCTCAATCTCACGCTCCATCATGGGGTCCAGGGCGCTCAGGCGCATCTGAAGTTCCTCAAAGTCCAGATTCTTTAACTGCACCAACAACAAGAAGAGTGTCAAGAAAAAGTTCAGCGCTACCTTGACTTGCGCCTTCCATTTGTTCCGTGTTCGACATGCAGGGGAGAACGGGCGTGTGGCTCTGATGAATTTTACTCTTACAATCGGAGCTTTAGTAGGCCAATAAATTAAATCAAGCTTTGAAATCAATGAACGACCACTTTCTCAATCGTGATTTCAATATCAAGTTTTACTTTTACAATCGGAGCTTTAGTAGGCCAATAAATTAAGCTTTGAAATCAACGAACGACCACTTTCTCAATCGTGATTTCAATATCAATCAAAATAATCGTGACTATTATTTTGGGATTTATCCCCCTCCCCCTTAATTGCCCATAATCACTCACAAAATCAAAGTCCCCGTCCTGGGGCACTTTCCAGTTATCTGGGAAGATGTTCTTGGACTGGATGTGGTAGCCTGGCTGTTCCTGAGGCTGGTTGTGGTTGTAGTTCTCCTGCTGACGTTGATGCTGGTGATGGTGCTGGGCCGCCTTGTTGGAGTCCTGCTTATCAAAGTAGTCCATGAAGGACGGACGCATGGGCTGCTGCGGGGTGGCGTGCCCTGGAGGGGGAATGAGGAGATAGGCCCAAGTTATGCCGTGTTGACGAGTCTGCTGCCTCAACAGGCACAACACGACACGTTAACTACACATCTCGTTTTCGTCTGCAGCAAGGTGGGCCTAACTTACTTGAACCTTCAGCCCCGTTGATGCCAAAGAGTAAAATCTATTTTGGCTTGCTGCTTCGAGACGTAGTAACTACAAAAAACATGTTCCCTCAGCGGCCCGTTAGGGCAGCCACTTGGTCACGCCAAAATGTGCTGGATGTCGCGTGTGCTCTGCTCACGCCTCATCGATCCCTGCTCCTCTTCTTCCTCCTCGTCGTCGCTGTTGATGACCATGGTGCCCAGGTCGGATTCCAGCATGGTGTTGCCGTGCTCGATCATTGTCTGCGCTCCGTCGCTCATGGTGCCTGTGGCGCGCATCGTGCCCGCGCCCTCCGAGCCGGACTTCACCATGGTGTGGGAGTCCACCTCCGTCTCTTCCTCCTGGAGGACGCAAAACAATCACTCAGCCATCTGGGGTCTTTTAATCTGTGAACATGAGTCCGCGTGTTCTGCTGACAGAGTTGTCGTCGTCTTCCTCGAGCTCCCTTTGCTGCTCCTGCTGCCTCTTGGCCTTCATTTCCATGGCTTCTGTGATCAGGTCCCTCAGGATGGAGACCGGCTTGGCCTGGCTGATGAACGGATGCTGTAAACGTGCGGTTCATAAATTAGTCAAATCTGTGATAATTGCGTTACAAAATTGCAAAACCTCTGACCCTGACGGGTTCCCAGTTGAAGAAATTTCCCCCCTGCGGTCACTACGCTGACAGAGGCATCAATTACCATTTTGGCAAAAAAAACAAAAAAAAAACTGAAAAACCAAATGTGGCTCGGACCAGACCCCTCTCCCTTTTAAATAACGACGAAAAAAATCTTGGCCAAGGCTCTTGGCACACGTTTGGAAGATACAATGCAAGCTTTCCATTAGCCAAACTGGGTTTCTCCTATCGTGAATAAGGGCGAGTGTTCAAAACACTTCAATCTTCACATTGTCATTTGCGCTGGCCATTGAGACTTTATCTATCACATTGACATCACAACCCTCCCATAAACGGAATCAATAAATTAGTCAACTCAGTCACGTGTCTTCAAATAGTAAGTGGTTTTATTTTGAGTTTCATGATGGAAATGCTTGATGGTACCTGTAGGAGCTGAGTGGCCGTGGCTCTCTGCTCTGGATTCTTCACCAGACACTTCTTGACAAAGTCTGTGAAGTCGTCCGACCACAGCTCGGGTTTCCGGAAGGTCGGCGGGGGGTTGGTGGGGATCATGAAGATGGCCTAAAGCGACGAGACAAGTGAACGAGGATTGCAAATAAGGTGTCGCATCTGCCAGATAAAGACACACTCACCCTCATGGGGTGGATGTCAGCGTAGGGGGGCTTGCCCTCGGCCATCTCGATGGACGTGATGCCCAGCGACCAGATGTCGGCCACGCAGTTGTAGCCAATCTCCTGGATCACTTCTGGGGCCATCCAGAAAGGCGTTCCGATCACAGTGTTCCTCTTTGCCATGGTGTCCTTTTGAGTGAAAGCCATGACTTTACTCCTCTTTGATATTTTGACAGCGGGGACACTACTACAGGGGTTGCACGCAGCACAAACAGGGAGGACAAAACAGCATCGTATATGACCGGCTGGTATCAGGCGTCCTAGTATCGGGAGTGTTTTTACTCATCCGAGCACAGAAGGACAGCATTGGCGCCGATTCTGGTACCGGTATCGCTTCACCTCTCGTTCAGTCTAAAACGCTTCCTGTTTGTTTTTAGCATCATAGAGCTACGATACCGTTAGCTGTCCTGCCACCCCAAAGTCGGCCAGCTTGGCGTGTCCCTCCGTGTTGAGTAGAATGTTGCCGGCCTTGATGTCTCGGTGAATCTTCCTCATGAAGTGAAGGTACTCCAGACCCTTGAGTGTTGACTTTAAGATAGTGGCGATCTCATCCTCCGTCAGCTGAGAAAAAAAAAAAAAACAACTATTAAAATTAGGCCTTTTTCGTTGCCGTTTTGGGGCACGTTTTGATTGACATGAAGCCGTACAACAGAAAGCATTGCTACTTAAGTCATGGTAGACTGTTTTCTTGTGTTCAGGAATAACAGTGGTTACTTTTTTTTCCCCAGACATTATGGTACATTTCTTTGTCAATAAAGTATACAAATGTAAAATTTCCACAAATTGCGCGCAATAATTTGTAGGACAAACATGCCGACAATACAATTACAAAGTGATTTAGTCAGTTCAAATAGGTTTCATGTGCAAGGGGAAAGACCATGAAAATTGTTTTCAAGTGGTCTCTCGATATCGTAAAATTTCACATTTCGAATTTCTTCTGGCAACAGAGAGAATGCGTTTGATTGATGTGAGGACCGGACCCACCGTTTTGTTGCGCAGCCTGATTATGTCAGAGACGGAGCCTGCCCCGCAGTACTCCATGACGATCCAGAGGTCTGTGTTCTTGAAGTAGCTGCCATAGTACTTCACGACGTAGGGACTTGAAGCAAAAGACACCAGATCAGCTAATTTGCTCACAGACAAACTGCAAGGTTGATTCCAAAATTTGCTTTGTTTAACCTGTCACACTGCTGCATGATGGAAATCTCCTTGATAATCTCTTGCAGATCCGACTCCACGGGAACCTGCTTGATGGCCACGACCTGTCCAGACTCCTTGTGGATGGCCTTGAATACGCTGCCATAAGAACTAAAAAGACACAACAAAAACATTCATGTTGAGAGTACACATATGTTTTAGACAAGACAAAACCCTGATAATTTTAACATTATTTTCAGAAGCGAAAGCTGGTGAACGATTATTGTGTGGAAAGGCAGATAACTATCTGCAGGAAAACATGACATTTTTTTCCCCACAATAACGTGTGATGAAGGGAAGTAAAACAAACTTACTCACCCTTCACCAAGTTTTTCCAGGACATCAAATACTTCCTCTGGTTGCTTGGTCAAGCTGTCTTCACTCAGCTTTTTCAGCTTACTGTCAGGGAAATATATATATATATGTATATATAAACAACATTAAAAAGGCTAGTCATTCATACATTTATAATGAATCATGATTAGTCACTGATAAGCTATCAAAGCTTTGGTTCCACTTTCTATATGAGTGAGTATGAATCACAAAGACAAGTTAAACAAATATCTAGTTTAAGTGACACAATAAGGTTCTGCAATATTACTAGTTATTTCTCGTAATAACCTACAGAAGTGTTGAGAAGAGCGACAAAGCTAACTACAACTAGCATCCCTGACTAGCTCCCCACCTAGCAAGTCACAAAGCTTGAAATTACAACCAACAGCCGTCAGACGTTCACAAACCTTTTCGGGGCAGACTGCTCCATACTTTCGAGTCAAGTGATACAAATGGCGCCGGAATGGTGTTCGGTTGCGGTGATTTTCGTCTTCTATGATCACCGAAAGAACATTGTCAACGTCGTTGTTGTCTCAAGAAATTAGTAGCTTGTGGCGAGTGAGGTCCACTAGCTAATCTTGTCTTCTGACCAATCATGAGGCCCGTTGCTTCGGGGTGAGTGTAACACTACGAATCCGCGTTATTGCAAACAGACCCACATTGAGCAGAACGACCAGTTTCTGGGATACGTAAGGGCATCAACCATTTTGAATGTGTCAAAACCGCCACGTAAAGTAATGCATGTCAAGGGACTGAAGTTCATAAAGAGACAACTAACAAAGTGCACAATGTTACCGCCTTGTCATTTTCCCATTAAAACACATACTAATATATTTAGGAAACAGATAGGCGCCAAAAAAAAAAACAACGTACACATGTAACTTCCAATTATTAAACATGTATCATCGCTCTAACAGTGTTACATGGTTGGGGTAAACACTCATGCAACAACATAAATACCTACGTTGTGTTTTTATGCTTCTGCCTTGTACTTGCCACCACGTTTTTATTTTATTAGCTTATTTTAATATATGTTGTTTGCCCATTTATTAGTTTTTGTAACCCTGTAACGTGGTTTTTCAATCAGGTTGTTTTGGCGTCTGTAAATGAGTCTGCCTTCTGTTAAATACAGTACATTTTTAGGGGAAAGGGGGTGAGTGTTATTAGTAATCCACACGCCGTCCGTTAGGAGCAGTAGCGCCAAAGTTTTATTTGTGCCAGTAGAGAAGAAGCACTGGATGTGAATGCGCTGGTACCTTTCCTGGGAAGCGTGACGTCCTTTCACTAAACCGAGACTAACACAAAATGTTTGTTACATGAGCGCAAATACATACAGTACAAAGGAATACATTTACAACCCAGCGGTATCTAAAAGTCACCCACAAGTGTCTGGAAGAGAACTTTGTTTACTTTAAAAAGGAGTCATGAACAAACGGGTGGTGAAAATGTCCATTCGGGTTTTTCTTGTTTTTTTTTATTTTTTTAATCTACAGAAAGCGCCGGTCTCCTTCATGCCAGACTCCCAAAGGGCATGGTGCTTAGAAGCCGTATTTGGCCCGGGTCTGCCGGCGGGTCATCCGGTTTTCTGCCCAGCTGTTCTTCAGCTCCAGCTCACGTTCCTTCGCCTGAGGGGAAAAAGACTTGAGAGTTCTTTTCGGGGCATCAATTTGCAAAACCCTGCTGTCTGCGCCCCATGCGAAAATTGTTGCCGTTACTACTTTTTACAGGTCATGTTGGTGGGCGATTAAATTGGGATGGTGCCCTCACGACCGCACACATAAACCATGGCACGCTGGGTACGTGACAAGAGGGCGGACATTTTGTCATCCTCGACCTCTGATCTATGTGGTCAGGCACTTGCCGCTAGAGGAAACGCTGACCATATATGGCCATGCGGAAGTTTTGGCTGCCTCACCTGGTGGATGAGATATGTAATCTGGTGCTTGCGCCTCTGTTGTCCTGTGGGCATTCCTCCCCTTTTCTGCAAGGGAAAAACAGTTTCAGTCAGAAATAGTTGGTTATTGCTGGACGAGTTCTTGGGAGTGGTTCTGGGTTGTACCTTGCTGAAAGACCCGCGGGTCTGCTTCTCCTCCGACATGCTTTTGGTGATCCACTGTTGGTGGCCACTCAGCTGGTCGTCGCCCTTAATTTCCAGGAACTTCACTTCCTCTTTCCCTCGGTTCCTTTTGCCCTGAAGCCGCATGAACTGCACACAGGACAGAGATATTGCTTATCGAGTGCAGTAAATTCCATTTCCTGTTTTATGGTTCGCACCACTCGTTCTTATTCTGTTCTGTGGCTGTCATTGTTGCAGTAAATTTAGTTTCCTGTTTTACAGTTATAATACTTTGCCTGTTTTTCCGTCAAAAATAGCGTTTGTCGTGCTGAATTCCATTTGCCATTCTAAATTTAGCATGATCCAAATTTGCCACCAGTAGTAAGTACCCTTCTGCTCTGTTTGAGGTATTTTGGGATGTTCCACTGTTGTTTTATTTCTTTATTTACATATTTTTTATAAAGGGAGAAAATAGCCAAGATTCCTTACCGCTTCATCATCAAACATGGCCGAGTTACCGGCTTCTTCGTCTTCGGGCAAGCCGGGTTTTGGATCTTGGTAATAAGCTGCGTTGCCATCGGTTAGTTAGAAGCCCATGTTAGTTTCAAACAAAGGTTTAGGTTTTTCAAAACGCATCTCAATGCATGGGGTACGTTATAATTGAAGGGCACATTTTTGCCTTCTGTTAAATACAGTACATTTTTAGGGGAAGGGGGGTGAGTGTTATGAGTAATCCACACGGCGTCCGTTAGGAGCAGTAGCGCCAAAGTTTTATTTGTGCCAGTAGAGAAGAAGCACTGGATGTGAATGCGCTGGTACCTTTCCTGGGAAGCGTGACGTCCTTTCACTAAACCGAGACTAACACAAAATGTTTGTTACATGAGCGCAAATACATACAGTACAAAGGAATACATTTACAACCCAGCGGTATCTAAAAGTCACCCACAAGTGTCTGGAAGAGAACTTTGTTTACTTTAAAAAGGAGTCATGAACAAACGGGTGAGGAAAATGTGCATTCGGGTTTTTCTTGTTTTGTTTTTTTTTTTTTTGGGAAAATGTCCATTCGGGTTTTTCTTGTTTTTTTTTATTTTTTTAATCTACAGAAAGCGCCGGTCTCCTTCATGCCAGACTCCCAAAGGGCATGGTGCTTAGAAGCCGTATTTGGCCCGGGTCTGCCGGCGGGTCATCCGGTTTTCTGCCCAGCTGTTCTTCAGCTCCAGCTCACGTTCCTTCGCCTGAGGGGAAAAAGACTTGAGAGTTCTTTTCGGGGCATCAATTTGCAAAACCCTGCTGTCTGCGCCCCATGCGAAAATTGTTGCCGTTACTACTTTTTACAGGTCATGTTGGTGGGCGATTAAATTGGGATGGTGCCCTCACGACCGCACACATAAACCATGGCACGCTGGGTACGTGACAAGAGGGCGGACATTTTGTCATCCTCGACCTCTGATCTATGTGGTCAGGCACTTGCCGCTAGAGGAAACGCTGACCATATATGGCCATGCGGAAGTTTTGGCTGCCTCACCTGGTGGATGAGATATGTAATCTGGTGCTTGCGCCTCTGTTGTCCTGTGGGCATTCCTCCCCTTTTCTGCAAGGGAAAAACAGTTTCAGTCAGAAATAGTTGGTTATTGCTGGACGAGTTCTTGGGAGTGGTTCTGGGTTGTACCTTGCTGAAAGACCCGCGGGTCTGCTTCTCCTCCGACATGCTTTTGGTGATCCACTGTTGGTGGCCACTCAGCTGGTCGTCGCCCTTAATTTCCAGGAACTTCACTTCCTCTTTCCCTCGGTTCCTTTTGCCCTGAAGCCGCATGAACTGCACACAGGACAGAGATATTGCTTATCGAGTGCAGTAAATTCCATTTCCTGTTTTATGGTTCGCACCACTCGTTCTTATTCTGTTCTGTGGCTGTCATTGTTGCAGTAAATTTAGTTTCCTGTTTTACAGTTATAATACTTTGCCTGTTTTTCCGTCAAAAATAGCGTTTGTCGTGCTGAATTCCATTTGCCATTCTAAATTTAGCATGATCCAAATTTGCCACCAGTAGTACCCTTCTGCTCTGTTTGAGGTATTTTGGGATGTTCCACTGTAGTTTTTTATTTATTTACATATTTTTTTATAAAGGGAGAAAATAGCCAAGATTCCTTACCGCTTCATCATCAAACATGGCCGAGTTACCGGCTTCTTCGTCTTCGGGCAAGCCGGGTTTTGGATCTTGGTAATAAGCTGCGTTGCCATCGTATCCCTGTCGAATGAGATGAGGTCACTGATGCCGTTCATGTTACAGCTTCTATTTGATGAAATTTAACGCATGTATACCTCAGGACAAGACTCTGGTCCCGCCATGGGCCGCTGATAGTGTGGATACTGGCCCCCCCACGCGGCAGCCGCCTCGTGCCCTGCCCCAAAGTCGAGGGGGGCATCCGACTGACCCAGCTCGTCACCGGGGGGCGGCGGAGGAAGCGGCGCGGGGGGCGG